CTCTCTCACCCCCTTATTTCTCTCTCTCACCTCCCCCCCCTTCTTTCTCCCCCTCCCCCCTACCTCCCTGTAGCGTGGCCGAGCCCTGTATAGTCCGCGGGTACAGGGAGCTTTTGTTTCCTGTACCCGGCCGGACTAACAGGAAGTGCACACTCAGTGTGCACTTCCTGTTAGTCCGGCCGGGTACAGGAGACAGCTGCTCTCTGTACCCGTCGGACCATGCTGCAGTGAGGGAGCTGACAGGAGCGCTCCCTCCTGTCAGCCTCTCCTCAGGCTGCGCCCGGGCGGTGCGGTCCGCCCTCATGGACGCACCGCCCGGGCAAAGCTGCAGCCGCCTGAGGCTCTATACAGAGAAAAGAGAAATAAGGGGGAGGGTGAGAAAGAGAAACAGGTGACTTCCTCTGCGGCCTTGTGGGAAATCCAGCCATGACCATTTAATTTTCCAGCTGGGATACACTGCACAAGCCACTACTATAATTACACATAAACAGACAAATAGATAGGTGGGTGGAAAAAGTGAAATTCAGTGCAGGCAAGCCACTGTCTAGAGGTCACTCCAACCTCAATTACAACAGGAACAAAAAACTGAATATAATATAAGAAGAAACATGGGAGAAGAAACAAAACAGAGACCGGGAAGAGGAAAGTATCTCCTGAGGAAGTCGGATAACGAAACGCGTTGAGCACTATCAAGAACCCTGTATTTTGGTATCAGCAGTCTTTTTTTTTTTTTTATTCTTTTTTTTTGTTGTGCACAATATTAACAAATAACCTTGGTGCGCCACAACAGCGACATCAGGGTGAATTGGTGAACATTTGCAATACAAGTTGTGGCATTCGCTAGACAGGCACATTTTTATGTTAGAGAGATCAGTGTTACAATAGTTTAGGTTCTCGTTTAAGTGGGTTAGCGAGGTGCACATGTCAGGAAAGGGTAAACAGAGGAGTGACATAGAGACGAAGCATGACATGTGCAATCATTGTATGAACACGGCTTTACAACATAGTATATGCTAGGTTGATTCTATCCTATCTCTTGTCTGGCTAGGCAGGGAATAAGTGGATGCAAATTACGCTAGACTTAAACCAGAAATAAGCCTACAGGAAGCGTACAACAGGCATTTGTGAAAATACTACAGATGTTTATAAATTTGAGGTGTTCTAAACAAAGGAAATAAAAATAATAGTGAATGCAATCAAAGTTATAACATGTTACCAAGGTAAAGCTGGCTGATACCCTGGCTACACTTGGTGTGGTATGATTCTACACAGGACCCTTAGCCTATGCCACTTAGAGTCCGAGTCTGATGAGGTAGCTTGGTACCGGGTTCTGCCTCCCCTTCTTGCTCCTTCCGTGTGTGGCGTCGAACTAGGAAAGATGGTGACCTCCATGGGCCGACGTTCTTGTGTGCCAGGCAGCTTAAGGGGACTACCTCTGGGTCATGCTGCTCCTGCCGAGGGAGTCTGGATCTCCGTGGTCGAGGTGGGTAGTAGCGTCCATGCTGCTGGGCTTGTCGGAAGAGCGTTGCCTGCCGCTGTGGCTTCTTGCGCTTTCTCGCTTTGTTAGCCGTGCGGGGGGGGGGGGTGGTTGTGTATATGCTTGCCGCTTCATGTAGTAGGATGACCCCCAAGACCCGCTTGCCTTTCAGCAGGCGTATAGAGTGACTCTCTGGGTTGCTCTCCTTCAGGAGATGCATTTGGTGTCGCTTCAATAAGAGCCTCCAATTTGGCCCAGAAATCAGCAAAGGTCGCATCCAGTCGCTCCAGCACATATTCAGCCGCACCTCCTCGTGTCTCCATGGGCTGATTCAGACCCGGCTGGTGGAGCAGAGACCTGGCCGCCATCTTAGGTGAGTCAGCCGCGATCAGGCGTCGTGGTATGATAGCTGTGTAGGGTCGACAGAGGTGCCAGCCAGTGGATACCGGGATAACCCCCACCGATCCGGGGGGGGGGGGAGAAGATAGCTTTGTTCACCGGGACATAGTAAATGAAAGAGCTCAGAGAGCGGCCGTCTCTCCAGAGCTCAGGCTTGTGTAGGCCGCTGACCACTACCAGGACGTACCAGGTCCAGACAGGCTCACAACTAGTATCCTCCGGTGCACCGAAGACCCATTGGCAATATGAGTGCTTATTGTGTCATGTTACATGATATTGTTTTATTATAATGTACTGTTTCTTTAATGTTCATCTTAAGTTTGTCCCTTGGGCCTCTCCATAGTTTGTATGCTGCTCCAGGTACTCCCCTCCCCTTTTTTCTGTTCTAGTGCCTTCTATGCTGTACATTCAGATGTGACTTGTTTCCCTGCTATCCTGTATGGAGGAATTGTTCTTTTACCTGTCGTAACTGCACATTCTACAGATCATATGACGAATAAACACCGCCAGATCTTCTTACATGTGAGTTGTGACTGAGTAAACTATCTGGGAAGGTGATTTGGCATAGATAGTCTCATCAGGGCAATGAGCGCCATGTGCTCCTGAAAAAACACATTCATAGCCTCTGCAGCCGGTCCAGAATAGTAAAAGAACATATCCAGCAGCTTGTTCAGAGATTGCCGTGTCACAGGACAGATCATAGCGAAGTGTAACTGTGTGTATTGTATGAGAAGTCTGCATACACCCCCAGCACAGCTTGTTACAGCCCCACACAGTATACAGACACACTTCACTGCTACAGCCAAGCCTGTGTACCTCAGGCCATCATGAGTGGAAAGGGCTCAGTATGTGAAACACCACAGCATGCACCACATGGAGAAAGCCAGTATGAGGACCCAGAGCCCAGTGCATTAGCTAAATGCTCTGTGAAACCCACATGGAAGGTTAAAGAGAACTATGAATCGATGAAAACTGAGCTAGCAACCAGTTTGAAGCAGATTTGGGATAAAATCCTCACCTACATTGATGTGATTTCATGTCCCAGCCATGAGGTACTGCAACTAGAAGGCACCATAAAACAACTCTCTGCTTCATATGAACTGTACCAGACTACAAGCAATAAATATATAACTATTCTGCAAAACATTAACACTGAGGAATCATTAGAGCAACTTAACAATGTCCAGCTTCTTAACATGGAAAGAGAAAGCTTTATCCTGCTAACTAAAGCAAAGGCAGAAGCAAAATTAACGCAGCCACAGGACACTGTATCTCACAGATCCGTATCCACCAGACATTCTAAAAGTTCCTCTAGATCCTGAAGTTCAAGGCACTCAACGCTTAGTGAACAGCTTATAAATGCCCGTGCCGAAGCAGAGGCTAGCAAAGTACTGGCTGCATATGCTAAAAAGAGAGCAGAAATGGAAGCTGAGGCAGCACGTCAAAGGGCAACAATTGAAGCTTTAAAGGAACAGAGCAACTACGAGGCAGCTGAAGCAAGACTAAAGATTTTGGAACAAGCTATCGGTGCAGATGAAAATGCTAGTGAAAGGGTCAGCGTCAAGGCAGATGTGGAAGATCCATTCGAATGCACTAAGAACTATGTTCTAAACCACAGCAGCGAGCACTCAATTGCCTCCATTCTGCACGACAACGCAAGGACTTCACCACACCTACATGCAAAACCACCCCAGTGCAGCGCCTGACTGTCATGCTGATTCTGCATATGTCACAGAATTGCACGCCAATCTGCAAGCAAGTCACCAACCTCCTGCTAATAGTACCGTTCCAGACTTTAACCCAACAACTCAGCTGAACCCCCTTGTTGCACCATGTCTTCCGAAGTCTTTTCACAACAATACCATAAACAACGCAATCCGCAACATTCAACCAGTGACCTCCTACGTAAAGTCAGAGGCAACTGATACAGCAGAGTTCGTAAAGTATATAGTTCGACGAGAGCTCACCAAGTCAGGCCTAGTAAGCTTCGATGACCATCCCGAAAATTACAGAAGTTGGAAAGCTGCCTTTAAAACTACTATAAGTGATCTTGGTATTACTGCTGCTGAGGAGCTGGATCTGCTGATCAGGTGGCTTGGTCCACAATCTACAGAACGTGTCAAGAGCCTCAGGTCAGTCTACATCGACAATCCAACTGCAGGTCTCACCGCTGCATGGGAGCGTCTAGAACAGAGTTATGGTAGTCCTGAAGCCATAGAGAATGCATTGCTCAAACGATTGGAAAATTTCCCAACGATATCCGGTAAGGACAATAAAGAGTTCCAGAGACTCAGTGACCTTCTTCTCGAAGTCCAGCTTGCCAAAACTGACCCTAAACTACCGGGCCTCAGTTACCTGGACACTGCTCGAGGAGTTAACCCTATCATTTACAAGCTTCCGTATGGCCTACGAGAAAGGTGGATCCAAATTGGGTCAAAATACAAACGGGAAAACAAGGTGTCATTTCCCCCTTTCTCCTACTTCTGCGAATTTGTCAGGAACATTGCTAACACCAAGAACGATCCTAGTTTTGCATTTGGTGAGTTCAGTACTCCCTCACTGAAAGGTGACAAGCTACATATCAGCTACAGGAACCATAGAGGTCCCGTGTCTGTTAAGAAGACAGACATTATTCCCGCTCCCACCTCAGCTCCCGCCTCAAACAAGAGCGGCAAGATCGAAAACCCAAACCGATTATGTCCTATCCACAAGAAGCCACATCCCCTCACAAAATGTAACGGCTTTAGGAAGAAGCCCCTACAAGAACGAAAGGAACGCCTAAAGACCTTTGGGGTATGTTATAGGTGCTGTGCTTCCACTGATCACTTTGCCAAGGAATGTAAAATCCCTATCAAGTGCATAGAGTGCGGTTCCGAGGACCACGTGCAAGCTCTCCATCCACTTGAGTCCAATCCTTCACTACTTGCAAACCTTTCTCCCAGGCCAAATCACGACGAGAAAATTACAGATCAGGTGGCTAATCCCACCATGATATTTTCTTCATGCACGGAAGTGTGTGGGGAAGACCACCGTGACAAGTCTTGTGCTAAAATATGCCTAGTGAATGTTCACCACAAGGATCAACCAGAAAATACTTTAAAGGTGTATGCTATCTTAGATGATCAAAGCAATCGATCACTTGCACGATCTGAACTGTTTGATCTATTTTGCATAAGAGGAGAGGTTCACCCTTACACCTTAGGCACTTGTAGCGGCACTACAGAGGTCTTTGGAAGAAGGGCACATGGATTTATTGTGTCCTCTCTAGGAGATAACTTACAATTACCCTTACCTACACTTGTAGAGTGCAACCAGATACCAGCCAACAAAGAAGAAATACCTACACCAGAAGTTGCCTTCTTCCACCCTCACCTAAAGTCAATAGCAAGTGAAATCCCACCACTTGACAAAGATGCTAAAATCCTTCTTCTGCTGGGAAGAGATATTCTAAGGGTCCACAAGGTGCACAGGCAGGTCAGCGGACCCCCAGATGCTCCATTTGCCCAGTACCTGGACTTAGGCTGGGTCATCATAGGTAATGTCTGTATAGGCAAAATGAAAAGGCCTACTAAGATTTCTTCATTCAAGACAAGCGTACTTTAAGCAGGAATCCAGCGATGGAAAGACATTTTGTAGACTTTATCCAGAATATCTTTGATAGAGGTCATGCTGAACCCGCACCTCCACTGAAAGAAGGAGAAGAGTGCTGGTACCTCCCTTCCTTCGGTGTGTATCACCCACGAAAGCCAGACCAAATCAGAGTTGTCTTTGACTCCAATGCCCAACATGAAGGCATCTCACTTAACAACATGCTCCTCACAGGGCCCAACTTGAACAACAGCCTGATTGGAGTCCTAATTCGTTTTAGACAAGAACCTGTTGCAGTGATGGCGGACATTCAACAAATGTTCCACTGCTTCATCGTCAAGGAAGACAACAGAAACTACCTCAGGTTCCTATGGCACAAGGACAATGACCTCAACAGAGAGGTAATTGATTACCGAATGAGGGTGCATGTCTTTGGGAACAGCCCTTCCCCAGCTGTAGCAATCTATGGACTAAAAAGGACAGCCCAGCTTGGAGAAGCTGAGTATGGATCCGACGCTCGTCAATTTGTCGAAAGAAACTTTTACGTAGACGACGGGCTCAAATCCTTTCCTACTGCTAAAGAAGCAGTTGATCTTCTCACCCGAACAAAGGAGATGCTATCCGTAGCAAACTTGAGACTCCACAAGATTATATCCAACAGCCAAGAGCTAATGAATGCATTTCACTCAGAGGACTATGCTGCCAGCGTGAAAGACCTTGACCTTGGGTCAGACACACCTCCTTTGCAGAGAAGTCTAGGTCTGCTGTGGAACATCAAAGAAGACACATTCACCTTTCAAGTGTCAACCTGTGACAAACCTTTTACCAAGAGAGGAGTCTTGTCCATGGTGAATAGCATCTACGACCCACTGGGATTTATAGCCCCAGTCACCACCCAAGGTAAGATGCTTCTAAGACAGCTTACTACTGATAACATAGATTGGGACACTCCGTTACCCATGGAGAAACAACAAAGATGGGAGAAATGGAGAGGTTCTCTGAAGCCACTAGAACAGCTCCAAATTCCATGTTGCTATGCCCCAGTCTCCATTTCAGCCGCTAAACAGAGGGAAATCCATATTTTCTCAGACGCATCAGTTGAAGCTATAGCTGCAGTGGCCTATTTGAAGACCTCGGGGATCAATGGAGCCATACATTGCAATTTTGTTCTAGGCAAGGCAAAGCTAACACTAAAACCTGCACATACCATACCCAGACTTGAACTTTGTGCAGCCGTGCAAGCCGTGGAAATAGCCGAAGTCATAAAGAGTGAAATGGAAATTAAAATCGATTCCTTCACATTTTACACAGACGGTAAGATAGTGCTTGGATACATCTACAACCAAACCAAACAATTTTACGTGTACGTCAGTAATCGAGTAGAATGTATCAGAAGGTTCTCTCTGCCAAAGCAATGGCATTATATTCCCACTGACCTTAATCCTGCTGATTATGGGACAAGACCTATATCCCCAGCAGCTCTCCATGGCTGCTTGTGGCTGACGCCTCCAAGGTTTCTTCACGAAAACCCCTACTCAATTTCTACTGACGTTACCTAAGAATTGGTACTTCTTCTCCCAAGTGAGTGACTTATGCAAGAGTACCAGGCGGTACGGTGCTATGGCGGGGAGAACGCCGCTATAACTGTTAACTATGCCACTGTTGAAGCTCCACTGCTATAAACTGCAGACTATAGGACTTTAGCCATCTGTTATTGGACTTCATGTTTTATTGTTCATTTACTGCATACCTTCTTTGTTTTGCAGGTATCTCGTATTTATGGTCTACACACCAGTATTATTTCCAATATTTTCTTCACTTACAGGTTCAAGTTGGACTTTTAGACATTTGGACTTATCTTTATATACATATATATAGGCTTTGAAATCTAAAGATTTCAGGCGGGGAGTGTCATGTTACATGATATTGTTTTATTATAATGTACTGTTTCTTTAATGTTCATCTTAAGTTTGTCCCTTGGGCCTCTACATAGTTTGTATGCTGCTCCAGGTACTCCCCTCCCCTTTTTTCTGTTCTAGTGCATTCTATGCTGTACATTCATATGTGACTTGTTTCCCTGTTATCCTGTATGGAGGAATTGTTCTTTTACCTGTCGTAACTGCACATTCTACAGATCACATGACGAATAAACATCGCCAGATCTTCTTACATGTGAGTTGTGACTGAGTAAACGGTCTGGGAAGGTGATTTGGTATGGATAGTCTCATCAGGGCAATGAGCGCCATGTGCTCCTGAAAAAACACATTCATAGCCTCTGCAGCCGGTCCAGAATATATTGTGGTCTGATTGATGGGTGGCCTGGGTGTAAATCTTGATTTATTGGGGCCAGATGCAGGAGCTCTTGCAGATCACGTCTGGCTTCCTTGGCAGTCAAGCTCCGCCCCCCCATCAGCAGTCTTTTTAAACGTGTATGCTATGGATTTTTAATATTGTTTGTGTATTGTGCGTTTTTGCAGTCTGTGATTGACTAGTATAAGTGGATTGTTGGTCTGACAAGCACTGTGCACTTTCCTTTTGACTATTACTTCTGCACTTTAGCACATGCACTTTTATTATTATCTAAGTATCATGTTTTGTTTAAGTTGCTGTTCCTAAGGGCTCTTGGCCTATATTGGCTTTTGTATAGTTGCTATTTTGCACATATGTTGTGCTGTGATTCACATTTTAATTTTACCTGTAATAAATTGGATTTTTTTATCTCTACTTACGGTTTCCTTTTTATTAGGAATTTCTGACTGAATTATTAAAGTGACTGTGGCGCCCTGTTTCTTCTGATATTATATTCAGTTTTTTGTTACTACTATAATTACTTTTGGGGTTTCCTTAGTTTCCCCATCCTTTAATTTTGGGTGCTACTAGGATGTCTGATTCTCGAGGCGTGCTACACATGCTTAATCTACTTCTAGCAAGCTAACACGAAGGTGTCCCTCTGCCCCCACGGCCCCCCTTGGCAGCTAGAGGGTTAAAAACGTACCTGAAGTGCAGAGGTCCCTACTCGACACTGGAGTTGTCACCACTTCCTCTGACGTCATTGCAAAGTGGAACCTAATGTGCATGCGTGCCGAGCGCTGTGTGCACATTAGGCTTTCCCCATAGGAAAGCACAGAATCAAAGCATTCCAATGGGTTTCGCAGGATGCTGGACGTCCTCATGCAAAAGGAGCTGCAGGGTTAAAGGGACAGGGAAAGTGCCTATAGTTTTCCTTTAAATTTTATTTGCTACTAAAATATATAATGTTTTATATAATATTGTATAATTGCATGCCAGTTTTATTCAATACTTATTTTGTGCCTCATTTTGATATTTTCATAAAATGTGGTGGAATTAGAGAATAGTTGATATATTGGCAACTACTTAAATTACAAGGGCTCCATGCCTGTTATAAAACAGTGAATTTGAAATCGAAACTGATACATGTATGTTTACATTGCATTGCTGCCAAATTTTTGCGGTAACAGGGACTGTCCCTAGATTTGGCTTGGTGTCTACTATTCTACGCATTTGGCGTATTTCCCAGATTTTACTGTAGACTTTAAATCCTATCTAAGCATTCATTTGATTGTTTTATTTTAATCTAACTAATGATTTTAGGACAGAAGTAGCCAAGTTTGATATCTGTTTTAATTACATTGTTTTAGCATGCTGTTAATAAATCACATCTCACAGTTTTAAGATAAACCTGCGTTATATTCTATAGCAGTATATGTGAAGATTTTTTTTTACTCACAAGCGACACGTTAACCTAATCAAGTAATCATATGAAGCACCATGTAGGAAAAATTTTATATTTTCTTTTCCAGTAGATTATTAATATTTGTTTATTGAAAATGTCATCATAGTCTGCAGTCCTGTTGGGAAAGTTAGGTTCTATAATTTTCATAACATTTTTATAGAATTTTGCAATGGCAATATGTGTATACTCAGTTAAAAACATCCTGATTAACATTCTGGGAATTATATAAAAAATTTGAAAACTATTTTTTTTTCTTTTGTTACAGGTGGTAGAAGTTTACACAGCATAATAATTTATGTGATGATGCTTCGGTACTGCAACTGGCTTAACAAAGTCAATTAACTAATGCAAAACAAATCTGGCACTGGAAAATGAGTAAATAAAATTTTTGCCCAAAAGTAAACATATAATTATTATCTAAAGTCAAAGTAGTTGAAAAGTGTTGTGTGCAAAAGTACGTGCAGGACTATTACAGTCTTATAAGTGGCTGTCTAACCACAACACTCTTTAGATATCAGCTGGTAAACTAGAATGCTTTTTGTATTTGTGTTTCAACAGTAATCAAATATATGGACCAAATAAGAAAATGTTCTTCACATGTTAAAGTCTCCAGCCAGTCATGCAAATAGAATTTTGTAGTTTGGTTTTAAATAATTCTATATATAGTACAAAAATAGATAACAGTGACCCAATGTGTGCTAAGTGCAAATGTGTAAGAGACTCTGACACCCTGGTGAGGTTCCCTTAACCTTCACCAACAAAGAGATACAAACACCACAAAATATAAGGCGGAGTATCTTACATGCACTTTTCAAGTAGTCCTTTGCATAGGTACATTTCTTATAGCATACTCTAAAGAAAATGAAATAAAAAAATAGTGCAATATTGTTTGTACTCTTATTTTTGCAAGTCCAATCAAATCTTGATAAATGCAAACTCACAAAGGTGGAGCCACTAAAGATTGGGCTCAAATTGTTCGCTTTATGGGATCTAACTTGTCACACAAAGGGAATTATATATATTTTGAAGTGCCCATGCGACCTATTATATATAGGCAGGACAATTAGACCATTGAAAGTAAGAATTGCGGAACACATTAGAAACATTAAAAATGGGTTGGAGACACATAGTGTTCCGCTTCATTTTAAAGAAATGCACGATCAAGATCCAAGCAATTTATTCTTTTGTGCCATTAAAGAGGTCAAAAGGGACTGGAGGGGTGGAGACTATATTCGAAAATTAGGAAAAGAAGAAATGAAGTGTATTTTCGAGTTCAATACCCTAGCCCCGTATGGTCTTAATACTGACTTTGAGATATGTCATTTTTAGTGATCTTTTCCTCTTTTTTTTTTTTTTTTGAGACATATTCCATTTACTCATTACTATCTTTAGGCTATACTCTTATAACAACATGGGTGATTGTATTTTATATACTTTATTATTTTTTTTTTTTTACCATAGGGGTTTATATTTAAGAATTCTGCCGTTTTTTAGTTGAAATAGTGTCCTTTTAGAGAGATGAGGAGTCTTATGTATATTTGTATATAACCTCTGATGTATTTTTTATGTATACATATCTCATACTATATTTTGTATTAGTACTTCTTCTTTTATTATTAATAGGAAATTACATTCCTTTTTTATGGTTTTATGCATCGAGTTCTGTGTACACCATATGCCTTTATATAATAGTTAACCATAAAATCAACTAAAGAACTGAACAGAAAACAGCACGTGAAAAGAGTTCTAAACAAAAGACCCTGGGGGAATTCTGTATTGTGTTCCAACTGTGGAACGCAAAAACCGGAAGGAGGGGAGGGAAAAAAAAAGAGATCGACACTTCACAAGAAAGCTACACATGACGGCTGTGCGTTCCAAGGGTGGAACGCAAGGACCGGAAACCGGAAGTCCGGCGAACCGGAAATGAAGAGACAAAGAGAAAAAAAAAAAGCGGCAGTGAAAGGCTTTTAAAAAAGAAGAATCATCTAGGAAGATTTACAGCAACTGAGGAAGCGCCTTGAAGGGGCGAAACGCGTTTTGCTACTAAGACTGTTCAACAGAGCTTGTAAGGTCTTTTAATATATATTTTTATATATTTTTTTATATATTTTTTTAAATTTTGTTTATATTAATAAATGCTATTTTATTATATTTCGCCTGTGAGCCTGTGATTACCCTTCAAAAGGAATCTGGAGCACAGAGGAGGGAGTGGGACCCTTTACATCCCATAAAGTGAACAATTTGAGCCCAATCTTTAGTGGCTTTGCATTTATGAGTTTGCATTTATCAAGATTTGATTGGACTTGCAAAAATAAGAGTACAAACAATATTGCACTATTTTTTTGTTATTTCATTTTCTTTAGAGTATGCTATAAGAAATGTACCTATGCAAAGGACTACTTGAAAAGTGCATGTAAGATACTCCGCCTTATATTTTGTGGTGTTTTTAATTCTATATATAGGTCCACTGAAGCAAAATGTTTACTTCTGTAAGCAGTTTGGCATAGGAATGTCAAAAAAGGACATTTTCAATTGTAGCATACCATCTTCCTCTCCACATTTGGGGTAATCACCATTTACACAAAATAGAATTA